TGGCTGACACTCCCCACTCCCCAGGCAGGCACTTCCAGCATCCCCAGCAAGCACTCTCATACACCCCAACATGCACGCACACCTGCTTGATTGCATGCTCTCCAGCATCATGCCCCGCCCCCATCGCAAATAGCCCTCAACACTCCCCCACCACATCGCTGAGTTCCTCCCACCACTCCTCCCCAACACCTGGCAGAGGGCTCTAGAGGCTGCAGCATTTGGTGGCATCTCTGCCAGGCACCTCTGGCTCTCCTTCAGCAGCGGCTCACCAGCCTAGGCACTCCTCACCCTGCCAGGTGCCTCCCTAAGCAGACCTTGAGACTCCCTAGTGACTGGCACGACCTCTTCCCTAAAAGATAAAGAAGGCACTTGGGGCCCAAGGTATGGTACTTAGATGTGGAGGCGAGGGGCTGCGGGGATGGGGGTGTAGAGAGAGGCGGGCACTGAAATGGAGGAGGCCCAGCTGGGCCCAAAGGAGTGCCAATTGCCCGGCCCGCACGTAGTGGGTTGGTTTCACGAGGGCTGGAGTCCTCGTGCACTGTTTGTGTCCCTGTCTGCGTGTGTGCTGGGGGGAGGGCTGTGTGTGCACGTGTGCTTCTGCGTGTCAGGGAGGAGTGTGTGATCGGCAGAAGGAAAAAGCAGGAGCAGCACCCTCCTGGGCTCCCCCAGGCAACAATTGGTTTCATTCATTCATGCCTTCTTTGTTAACGAGCATTTCTTCGGTGAGCTCCGGGCGCGTGCCAGGCCCTGCACTGGGGGCTGGGGCCAGCTTGGGGCCGGGCACACACCCGTTCCTGCCTTGGAGGAACTCCCAGTCCCGCGAGGAACCCGACCAGGAAAAGCAGCCATCCCCAGCGGAAAGTGGATTTGGTGGAAAAGACACTGGATTTGGCAGGAATGCTGTCGCTGGGAGTTGTGCTCCTAGCCATGTGACCGGGCCGCGACAGCCGAAATCCTGCCACTCGGCCCGGCGGGAACGGTGCAATTGGCTGGAGTCGGGGGGGGCGGGGGAGGCGGGGCGCTGCTCCTGGGAGGCTACCCGGACCCGAGAGCGCACGCGGCACGCGCTGGGCCTGCGGGCGACGGCGTCCGGGCGACCTCCAGGGGGCGTTGGCCCGGCCAGGCGAAGGCCAGGGGTACCCAGCGGGGGCGGCGGTGGGCGCAGCGCCCATCCTGCGGTGAGCTGCGAGCGCGCCGCCTGGCTCCGCCCGCCAGAGGGGGCTAGGCGAGGCCCGGGCGCGCGGCTGTCTCCCGTATCACAGCCCGCCAGGGGAGCAGTCGCGGGGCGGGGCTAGCGCCTGGGAGCAGGCGCTGCAGGGGGCCTGAGTAGGGGCGGGCCCGGCGAGGGTGGGGGGGAAGGGGGCCGGGGCTTGGCTGCACTCAGCCCTGCAGTGCGGAGGTGGCAACAGGTTCCCATTTGTCCTGTTGCTGGCGTTGCGCGCGCTGCAGGCGCCGGGCACAGAGCACTGCACTGACTTTCATGATTGAGAGCCCCTCACCCCCTTCACTCCCTCCCGTTTCCCCGGTAGGAGGCCTCACCAGCAGGAATCTGGAACAAGGTGTAGGGCAACCACTCTTCAGGTGTTAGGAGATGCAGGATTGTTGGAGTCTAGACTTTCCTTTCCTTCGCCATTGCAGAGGTTGCTTTCCTCCTCGTCCTCATCTCCCTCCCCCTCCAGCTATAGTCACCTCCTCCAGGAAGCCCTCTCCAGACAGCAATGCCTGGGCACCTCAGAAGTACCAATTTCCTTCGGGTTGGCGATTCTCTCTCTGAGCACACTGAGCCCCCATGACAGGGTGGATGGGACACGTGCCTCTCCAGACCCCCATGCTGCTGCTCCCTCATCCACAATGTGACTAAACCCCAACCCTGCTTGCCAGGCCAGGACATTGCAGAACTTCCGTGGTGCCTTCAACTTCTGTCCATCCTAAGGTCCCACCCACAGCTGCAGTGGGGTCTGGAAGCAGCACATAGGCTGGGTACCCATGGCCAGGTGGCAACTAGTGCCTGCGTCTGTCAGTGGAGCTACAATGTGAGAGATGGAGAAGGTAGAAGGCAGAGTCCCTCTTCCAGGAGTGCACTGTGAAAAGGGGAAATGGGCCATGCCACAGCCTAAAGCCATGAGGCCAAGGAGCACCAAAAAAGGACCCTACAGGCTGGCCCAAGGAAGGGGGCTGGAGAAAATGCAGAATCTGGGCAGGCAGCCTATATGTAGGAGAGAGGCCTGGGCTGGGACCCCTGCCCATAGGACTAGAGGGGCATGGCCCAGTCACCCAGATCCCCTGCATGCAGGTGTTGGTACTGTAGAGGAAGGGACATGGTGGGTGTGGCCAAAGATGAGCCCACCACCTATGGCCTAGGAGTCTGAAGCTGACAGCCCAGGGCAGGAAGGGAGGGAGAAGGCAGGCCTAGGTCCCATAGAGGTGACCTAGCTTTCCGTAGCCTGCTGCTTCCCTTAGCATCACTTCACATGATGTCTCATCTTACCATGTGGTTCATGAGGGAGGCTTTTCAACAGGCATGGGAACGGCCTGCAGTAATTTTAAGTGTTGGGCTTCTTGGTGGCTTTGCGTTTTTTACTTCTTAGAAAAATGTTTTGTGGTACCCATCCTGTGTGAATAGGCCTGCTTGCTTTTATTTAGTTCCTTATGGTAGATTCCCAGAAGTGGCCAAAGGTATGGATTTTTTGTCTAGCTCTTGACGTACATTGCCAGATTAATTTCCAAAAGGACCAAAATCACCCAGCAAGAGAACAGCATGCAGTTTCTCTGCAGCCTTGCCAATGCTGGGTGTTCTCATTTTGAGAACATTCTACTAATGTAGCAAGTGGGAAGTGTTACCTTGTTTTGCTGTTGTTACCTTGTTTTTTGAATTGGCTTTCCTTCCATGACTGAGATTAAATCATCCTCCAAATATTTTTTACCCCATCACATTCCTTCCTTCATGCAGTTTGCAGTCTTTTTAAGTTCCTTATCGATTTATCTACCAGGGTCTTAACCTTTTGATTATTTTGTATGAGCTTTATCTTATCTGTTGTATGTTTTCCTTCAACACTGTTATTTGCTTTTGTTGGGCTTTAAGCAGAGAAAGGACACATAGCCAGATGGGGCATTTTAGAAACCTCTTCCAGCCCTCCTTTCATTGTCTCAGCACTTATCATCCCTGATATTTTGTTCAGTCTCTTAGCTTATCGTTGATCTGTCCTGCTGGTCTGGGAGGGAGCACCAGGCATGCAGGAACCTTGTGTGTCAAGCCTGTTCATCACCTGTGTCCATGGAAAGGATGGAGGCGGACAGCCTTTGTAGAATGAATGGCATTCTGGCACAGGACAAGGCAGGGTGAAGGACAAGTTGATGCAGGAGGCAGGGAGACCATTTTGAAAGCTATGACAGTGACTTGGCCAAGAGATGGTGAATATGAGCCCACAGCCAGTGGTGCAAACAGAGGGATGTGGGTGGATAGAGATTTTGGTAGAAAGTACTTCCCTCCAGATGGATCTGTCCAGGAGGTTAAGGAAAGGAGGCAGGTGGAGGAGTCAGGGGTGACTCCTAGGCTTAGTGTGATATGGGTGTAGTGTCTCAGTTTAAGGCTGGGTGCTCAGAGCTCCTGGGCACCTTTACTCAGGCCTGGGCAAATGAAGGCCTTATGGGGATAGGGTGCTGAGGAGCTTCCCTGTGCCTGCCTACCCCACCAAGGAGTCTTGGGCAGAGCTTTGGACCCAAGATAGCAGCAAGTTTTCTAGTCCTGCTTCTTCCTCTCCTCCATGAATTCAGGGACAACCCCACAGCGGCCCAAGGTGGTGGCTCTGATGAGCCCATTATACGGATGGGGCCACTGAGGTCCCGGTGGGAAATACGGTGGTCCAGGACCACTGAGTCAGTTGTTGGAAGCAGCTTCTGGAGCAGGAGCATGGGGCTTTTGTCCCCACCCCTCCCCCTGCCTCCAGGGGCCAGGCTGGCGCCGGCCAGGGGAGCTGTAACTGGTTCCCTGCTGGGCCCCTGACCTGCCCTTGGCCTCTGCCCTGACCCTGTCCCGCTTCGGTGGAAGCCCCAGCTCAGCCTGCCACTCGCGAGTCCCACCCGACTCCTTTCTCTTGCACCCGTTGGCTCGCCGACCCCTCTGGGCCCGCCCCGCCGCCCCGCCCCGGCCCGCCCCTCTGAGCTGCTACTCCACGTCCCGAGGCCGAGCCTTCCTAGGTGGAAGCTCAGTCTTGCTGCCAGGAAGCTGCCGGCGCCCGAGCTGCGCGCGAGGCTTGGTTTCCACGTGCGAGCCTGCTCCGCCACCCCGCCTCCTCCTGGCCGCCGGGCCTGGGGACTCCCTGCTCTGGGACGGCGCCCCGCGCCCTGCCATTGCAGTAACCCTGGCCGGGACATCCACGCGCGGCAGCCTGCCGCCAGATCCAGGTCTCTCTCCTTTTGTTCTCTCCTAGGGGGGAGGACTGGGGCCGGAACAGCTACTAGAGGGTTTGCCGAAGCCGGTCACCTCGTCGCCCCTTTTCCCTGGGCGCGTCTGGCCGTGGGGGAGATCGAGGCTTTGAACCCCATTCCTTCGCACGCACACACTCCCCAAAGTCGTAAGCTCGAACTTGGGGCGTGATAGCGGGCAGGCCCAACGAAGGAGCCAGAAAGGAGGTGTGAAGGAGGTGGCTAGGGCTGGGACGCCCCGGGAGGAGCCTGGAAGGGGCTGTTAGACACCCGCTTGTCTTCTGGGAGACCCTCGCGCCTCCCTAACCCGGGCAGGGAGCAGCGCCCCGGCGCCCGAGTGGCTGCCGCGGTGCTTTTCTAGGGGCGCCTTTTTCTGTGTTCTCGCTGCGGGTGGGGCGCGAGGAGAGGAACGGGAGGTGTACGAGTGTCCCTGCGAGATTCGGCGCCCGCCTTCAGGACTTGGGGCTAGCTTTACATCTCAGCCCCGGAGCGGTGGTCCGCGGGGACCCGAGCTCACACCGCGCGCCTTCCCTCTCTCCGCAGCGCCTGCCCGACGTGCAGAGAACCGCGCGCCCATGGAGAGCCTGGGCCGCTCGTGCCTGTGGCTTCGTCGGGAGCTGTCGCCCTCGCGGCCGCGGCTGCTGCTCCTGGACTGCCGCAGCCGCGAGCTGTACGAGTCCGCGCGCATCGGCGGGGCGCTGAGCGTGGCCCTGCCTGCGCTGCTGCTGCGCCGCCTGCGGAGGGGGAGCCTGTCGGTGCGCGCGCTCCTGCCAGGGCCGCCGCTGCAGCCGCCTCCCCCTGCCCCGGTGCTCCTGTATGACCAAGGCGGGGGAAGGCGACGGCGCGAGGGCGAGGCTGAGGCTGAGGAGTGGGAGGCTGAGTCGGTGCTGGGCACCTTGCTCCAGAAGCTGCGGGAGGAAGGCTACCTGGCATACTACCTGCAAGGTAGGTATAGAGTGGACTTGGTGGGCACCTGCCAGGGGAGGACCCCTGCCTAGGGAAGCAAGACCTTGCCTTCCAAGGGGATTCATAATTAATTTGACCTTGAGTAAGCCCCGTCTATTTTGTCTAAAGTGGAGGTGAGACTCCCTCTCCCAACAGCTACTAGGCTGCTTTCAGGGAGGGGGGCCTGATCATGACCTTGGGCAGGTCCTTCACCCTTGAGAAGCCCCAGTTCTTAGTCTAGAAAATGGGGAGAGCTGGGCAGAGCTGACCTAGTTAACAGGATGCTCAAGAACAAAGTCCTACGTTTGGGATCCCTGTGTCTGGCCAACAGCTTCCCCACTTTCCTGGTGCTCCCTGCTCCTCTGTACCTCAAAGGAGGCAGAGGCCAGACAGCAGGAGGGAAAATCCCAGGCCCTGAGATGGTGGGGGAAAATCCTGGAGAAGGTGTGCAGGCAGGAGAAGGCATGAGGACAAGAGACCAGCCTCCCCTGTAGTCAGGGCAGGGCCCTGGATGGGCGAAGTGGAGGCAAGTTGATACAGGTCTGTTGGCCCTGTGCAAGCCAGATGCCCCCTCCCCAGAGGCCCAGTGCAGGGGCAAGGTTCCTGTGAAGCTATAGAGGCAGCTGTCCCCACCTCCTGATCAGTTGGTCACCAAGATAGGTCAGTTGGGCTGTAAAGAGAATATATAAATATAGAAAGTGTCAGGTTTCCAGGTCCCCACCCCCAGCTCAGGGAAATGATCGAATCTGTAGACGAAAGAGTTGCTGGCTTCTCAGGACTTTGGAATCATTCAGATGGAATGTCATACTCTCTCCCAAGCTCCCCATTTCTTGGGGTCCCACTTCATCCCTTAGCGTTCTCCTGGCCACACCCGATGAGGAGATGCCCAGGTAGAGAACTGACACCCAGACCTTTCTTCTTCTTTAACTGATGACTGCTGTCCTCAGTTGAGCCCTCACATCTGCCTTGGCTCTCAGCCCTGGAGCTCTAAGATCCTCTTGGGTGGCTCTGTCAGGACCCAGCTTCTTGCGTCTCCAGTTGCCACAGTGGGCACTTGTCATCCAGTGCTGCATGAGGATTGCTAGGGCACCCACAGCGTACCACACATGCCCCCCCCCCCAGTGTAAATGAAACGCCCCTTGGCTCTTTTATTCCGTTTGGGGAGATCTGCAAACCCCCTAGGTTGTATAGGGCCAGCTCCCTAACCCCTGCCAGGGGCACTTGGCTGCTCAGGAAGCCAGGTCAGCAGGACCCTTTGCTTCTCCCTCCACAGGTGGCTTCGCCAGATTTCAGGCCGAGTGCCCTCACCTGTGTGAGACCAGCCTCAATGGTGGTGCTGGCTCAAGCATGGCCCCAGTGCCCAGCCCAGTGCCCGTGGTGGGACTGGGTGGCCTGTGCCTGAGCTCCGACTGCTCTGACGCAGAATCTGAGGCTGACCGCGACTCCATGAGCTGTGGCCTGGATTCGGAAGGCACCACGCCTCCCCCAGTGGGGCTGCTGCCATCCTTCCCCGTCCAGATCTTGCCCAACCTCTACCTGGGCAGTGCCCGGGATTCAGCTAACTTAGAGAGCCTGGCCAAGTTGGGCATCCGCTACATCCTCAATGTCACCCCCAACCTCCCTAACCTCTTTGAGAAGAATGGTGACTTTCACTACAAGCAGATCCCCATCTCTGACCACTGGAGCCAGAACTTGTCCCAGTTCTTTCCAGAGGCCATTGCATTCATTGGTGAGTCTGCCTTGCCCTCTCCTTCCTTCCTCTCCACTGCACCTCACCTCTAGCCTCTCCCATGCCTTCTCCCTCTCCTTAAGAGAATTCTTCCCAGGCTTACCTGCCATTGCCAGAGCAGGGATAACCCTTCTAGGGTGGGGGTGGACAGGGCTCAAGCCAGCTCCAGAGCCTGCTAGCAAAACCTCCAGGACTCTGAGGGCGGGGGGTGGGCTGCAAGGGCCCTTCTGGAAGACCACCTGGCTATGGTCTCACACTGGTCCTTGGGTCACCGTGGCTCTGCACTCCCCCACCTAGACGAGGCCTTGTCCCAGAACTGCGGGGTGCTCGTCCACTGCCTGGCAGGCGTCAGCCGCTCTGTCACCGTCACCGTGGCCTACCTCATGCAGAAGCTCCACCTCTCGCTCAACGATGCCTACGACCTGGTCAAGAGGAAGAAGTCTAACATCTCGCCCAACTTCAACTTCATGGGGCAGCTGTTGGACTTTGAGCGCAGTCTGCGCTTGGAGGAGAGGCGCTCCCAGGGGCAGGGCAGTGGGGGCCAGGAGTCTGCCACCTCTGACCCCCCCTCCTTTTTTACCACCCCCACCAGCGATGGCGTCTTTGAGCTGGACCCCACATAAGACCATGTGGGACTGGCAGGGCTGGTCCCCACCCATGACCCCACACCCAGTGGGTGCTCTAACCACCCATATAGTAGGGGAGAAGGGGGGAGGGGACTCAGCCATAAGCAGGGGGGTGGGGGGTGCTGGGGGAGGGAAAGCTCAATACCTCACTCGGGGGCGGTGGAGCAAGGCAGGGGCCAGAGCAAAGATCTGCCCTACCCACTCACAGCCTATTAAACGTGCCTAAGGGCCGGCCCCAGGGCCATCGGCCTTACCCGTGCGCTTTCGGGTGGGACCACGCTCCAGAATCTGCCTCTTCTGCGACTGTTACTTTACTCTTTTGGGGGTGGGGTGGGGTTCCCTATCTGAAGAACCATTGCAGGTGGCTGCCTGTTCCCTGGGGCCCTGGGTGCTCGCCAGCTCAGCTAGGCCCTGGGCCTCCCTGCTATTTCCCCCTTCAGGAAAGTTGTGTGCCACTTCCTTTGCTCCCAGGCCCTTCCCTGTCCCAAATGGCCACTTGTGAGGAGGGACTCACCACCACCAACAGGGCAGTCATCTCCCTGCTTGTCTGTCAAGGGCTTGGGTCTCTTAGGGCTGAGAGCCTCCCAGGAGATGTGGACCCAGAGATGCAACAACTGCCCGGCCTCCACGGGGACAGTCTCTCTGGAGACCTCCACAGGGACAGTCTCTCTGGGTGGCTTCTTACTGCGCCTGGGAGCCACTGGGCGGGTTCCCGGCCACACATCTGGCACCCTGACTGTTTCCTTCCTCCTCCCCCAGATGTCTTGACAGGATCACTGGGGCTCTTTGTGACTGAGGGTGGTCAAACTGCCACCGGAGGAGATGGGGTCTCAGAGCAAGAGCTGGGAGGGGAGGGAGGGAAGGATGAAGGCCTTGATTTTGCTGCTGCGGGTCCCACAGCCGTGTTGGGGGGAGGGGCCAAGCTGCAGACACACACGGTCATTCATTGCAGGCCACACCCCTTGTAGGAAGTGTACGTGTGCGCGCACGTGCACATCCAAGTTCACACATGCACACTAGCCTCCACTTACACGCTCGCCTGGGGCTGGCAGTCCCATCGCCCCCTCAAATCTGGAAGAGGGGCTATGCTTGTTTGTTTTTGTAATCCACATCATGATTGCTTTCTTTAATTGTTCCTCCTGAATAAACAGTTTATTTAAGATACTGAATAGAGAGGAAAGCTTCTTCATGAGCTCCTTAGAGGGTCTGGGGGAAGGTGGGGAAGGACCTTTTTGCCTGCTCATAGGAGGGCATGCTGTGCTGGCCAGGGACTCAAGTGCCACTTCACATCCTCCATGTCATTTCCCAATCTCTGAGCCCCCATCCCCTCACCACACACCTGAGCTCCCACCCTGCCACACCTGCTAAAGACCAGGACCCATCAGCAAGCCAAACAGAAGAGGTTGGCTCTTAGAGCTGCCTGGAGGGGAAGACTGGACTCAGTGTGAGTCACACAGTATGTATCCATTGCCTCAGACAGCAGGGAAGAGAGGACCCAGATTCAGCCATGAAGTTTGGCAACCAATCCCCAAAACACAATGTGAATCAGACCCAAGCCCTGCCTCAAGGCAAGCTCCCAGCAGCCCCGGTTAGACACCATCATGAGGTTGACGGGAGCTGTAGGGTGGCCCAAGCAGTGGGAGGACGGGCACTGTCACTGACATAATGTGGAATTTGGACTTTGAAGGCCTAGAGAGGGGCCTGTGGGGGTCTTTGGGCCATCTAAAGTGACAGATGGGGCCTGCCTCTCCATTCAGAACACTGCCAATGCCTTCTCCACAGCAGGCTGGAGATGCTGGTAATACTGCAATTCTGCACCACAGAGATGGCAGAGCGGAAGGGCAGCTGGAGGGTGGGTGGGGAACAAGTGTAGCTTGAGAAAACAGCTTTGTGTCACTACAACAAATACCTGGGCTAATCAACTCAGGAGAGAGAGGGGTTATTTTGGCTCCCAGTTTCTGAGACTCCAGTCTGGGATCATTTGGTGCTGTTGCTTTATACTCATGGTGAGGCCACACATCACAGTGAGAATGTGTCAGAGCAAAACTGCTCACTCCATGGCCAGGAAGGAAAAGAGCATGTCCCCAATGGACCTAGGGACTGCGTACCGAGCGCCACCTCCCAGAATTCCCACGACTTCCAAATAGCACCACTCTGGGCCAAGCCGTTTGGAGACATTCAGGGTCCCAACCACAGCCAAAGACTTGTGAGTAACATGGAACAGAAATGTGGGCAGCCCTTCTGCTCCACAGGCCCTGGAATTGGGATGAAATCTAAAACCATGTGACTGTATGGCTGAGCTGGTGAGAAAATAAGAGAAAGGCTCTCAGGTAAGGAACAGCGAGGATCCTGGAGTCCAGTAAAGGGGCTGCTCCAGGGGACAACAGGGCATCTCCTAGCCCAGGAGCCAGAAGCCTTCACAAGGAACACAGCCTTGCTGATCTCCAGAACTGTTAGAGGATACAATTTTGTTGTTTTAAGCTACTACCTTGTGATAACTTGTGACAGCAGCAATAGAAAACAAACACAATAGATGACCTTGAAAAAATACCCCCACAAAAAGAGGTGAGGATGTGTGTTTATCTTGACCTTGGATTGGGGTGAAAGGAGAATAAAAGAAAAATGACACTCCTGAGAATTCATTGCCACAAGTGGAAATTCTCAGTTAGAGGGGCCTATTCAGAGTAATGGATGTTCCAGAATGTCTCTTGGAGAGACACAGTGATAGAGTCAGTGGGAAGCTGCAGGATTGGTCTTCAAACTGCATTTAACTCTCTTACACCCAGATTTCACTTAGATTGTGATAGCTTAATAAAAATAGGAAAGCTTAAAACATTAATAAAATACACTGTTTAGTAATCCCAGCAGCTCACGAGGCTGAAGCAGGAGGATGGCAAGTTAAAAGGTAGCCTCAGCAACTCACTGAGACCTTGTCTCAAAATAAAATATAAAAAGGGCTGGGGATATGGCTCAGTGGTTAAGTGCCCCTGGGTTCAATCCCTGGTACCCGAAATAAAATAAAATAGATTGGAAGTTCTAGATGAAATGGTCCAGAGGTAGAATGGCTGCAGACTGCCTCTTTAAAAGGATGACCTTTAACCACAGGGCACAAAGAATTCCTATAGGAATTTTATTTTTTATTTTTTTTTAGAAAGAGAGAGAGAGAAATTTTTAATATTTATTTTTTAGTTCTCGGTGGACACAACATCTTTGTTTGTATGTGGTGCTGAGGATCGAACCCGGGCCGCACGCATGCCAGGCGAGCGCACTACCACTTGAGCCACATCCCCAGCCCCAGGAATTTTAAATATATATAATGAAAAAATGTGTAAAGAATCAAGCTACCATGAGTGACAGAAACATACAAATATAAAAACTTGCGGACTGGCTCTAGCTCAGCGGTTCCTTCGACAAAAAGCATACAAATATAAAAACTTAACAATCAATTCTAAGATAACAGATTTAAAACTTGTATGTCACAGTATATGATTAATATGTTTAAAGAAATAAAAATCCAGAGGTGGTGGTGGATCAGCCACTTGGGAGGCTGAGACAAGAGGATTCCAAATTTGAGGCCAGACTGGTGAACTTAGTGAGACCCTATCTGAAAATAAAATGAAAAGGGCTGGGGATGCATCCCAGTGGTAGAGTGCCCCTGGGTTTAATCCCCAGTACGAGAGACAGAGAGAGAGAGAGAGAGAGAAGGAATGACAGAAAAAAAAAGGTGAAAAAGAAGTCAAAGGAAGTATTTAAGGTATGACAAAGGAAAAATAACTATAAAATGACCAGGTACTCCTAAAAAAGACCAAATAGAATTTCTAGAAATTGAAGATACAACTATTGATCAGTAAAGGAGAGAATAGAGTGAATAATTTTTTTTTCTTTTAAAAGATGGAATTTTCCAAAAGTGGTAAAGGATCGGTTTTGGAAAAGATGCTAGAAGAGATGCTTAGTGTCCCCCAATCTCCGTCTTCCCCTTCTCCCTTTTGGAAATTTTATTTCTAAATAAAATCACTGCTAATGGTGACTCTGTTCTTGCACATCGTCTGCTTTTTCCACTAGTACTCTTAGCATTTTAATCACAGTCACTTTAAATTCCCGGCCTGACAATTCAACATTCCTGTCATATCTAACTCTGGTTCTGGCGCTTTGTCTCTTCAAACTGTTTTTTGCCATTGAAATTTGTTGTTGTTTTTGAGAGCTGGATCTGGGTGAAAGGAACTGCTGTAAATGGGTCATTAGAGATGTGGTGGTGACGGGATGGTGAGGGGACGCACTGTCCAACTCAATGACTAAGTCTCCATCTTGGGTAAGCCTGTGTCCCTGACCCATGACCTTCACCAATGCTTCTCAGACTCTGCCCCTGGTACATAGGATAGGATGGCTACAGCAGGCTGGAGCTGAGCTTGCCCATTCCCCCAGCTCGGTTAGCCTTCAGTAAAAGCCTAGGACAGGCTCCTGTTAACTAGTTTCTGTTGAGGACAGGCCTTGTTAAGAAGAGAATGCTCAGGACATATTTCAAAATGGTTTATTTCTTCCCTTCTCCTGCCAGAAGCATGAGATCCTTCCCTGTGAGAATCTGATGGCACTTCTGGAGAGAAGACTCCCTAAAGCATGGGATGCCCTGAGACTACCCTCCCACAGCAGAACTCTGACTTGTCCTTACTGAGTCTCCAGCAACCCAGCAATTACAGTGCAGGTTTCTGTGCCCTGGCATTGGTTTGTGCTTGTGGGTTTCTGCTCTGGGTAGCTGGCATCTCTGTGTGCACCTGTGTCACTCCACCTGAGAGGCAGCAGTGTGCTCTGTGACCTCAATTGTCTGATGAAACTAAGAGGGGTAGTTCATTTTCACTTTGTTCAGCTTCTCATTTGTTTAGGACGGTGTGAGGACTTCTCAGCTTCTTCCACACCAGACTGGAAACCCAAACTTTTATAGGTTGACTTTTCTTCCCATTATGGGTTACATTTGTTGCTGCTTCTACCTGGGCCAGAAAACC